CAAAGAAAGCTCCGTCATCATACGTGTATTTTGAAACGTAACCCGATTTGCTGTGTAATCCTATCAGCATCGGTGCACTGATAGAATTTAGGTAAATAGAACGCCTCAATGTGACGTATTTATTTACGAATTATCAGATCTTCTATATTTAGAAGTAAAACTGCATGTTACACAAACTCGTTCATCGTAAAATATATTCGATAATGATTACATTTAAAGTTTAATATTCATCGAGTATAATGCTTTTATCGCATCACGGTATTAGTGGGAAACTTGTTTAAGGACATATTTGGTGAAAGCGTCGCTGAAAGTCTATGGAAGTTCCTTTCTGACTCGAGACCAGATGATGCTAAATTAAGTTTTCAAGAGTTCTCTCGTCATGCAGCCAGTTTAATGGGGACGTCTACAGATGTTTACGTTGTAGGTGGGCATTAATCTACATACATCTTACTTACCTTAATGCGCTTCGCGTGTATCTGCTAATTCATGATTTATTGTCAAAAACTCCTGTAAATAGCCTTTTGAGCCTTCTTAGCGCGGAGACCCCTAAGATTTTGATAACTTTGCAGCGAACTAACTGTTGCAGATGACCTTATGCGACAGATGTTTTCCAGGAGGAGTCGAATGCGATTTGAAATGAGTTGAATATAGATGTAACTTGAAACGTTGATTCCAAATCTCTCTTCCATATCCGCGGAACTTTTCTGTGGAAAAAGTTTTGGACGTTTCTGTTCTGTCAAAGGCTTATTAGAGCTGGATAATGCCAAAAGTGTAAAATTGATCCAGAACAGCAACGTAAAGTCTAGCTATAGGTGATTGATGAAAGCATGTTTTTGTAAAAAATCAGTATGTTTTCATCAATGCTCAATTCACCTTATCCTATCTCATGTTGAACTTCAGTTTCAAACAGTGATTGGCGAGCAACACAGCTAATCCTGGCAGAATTCAGAAAAAAAAAACGCTTACCAGATATGGAAGGCGAATTTGGCAACAGCATTACAAGCTGCATCTAACACCATACCACTTTTTTGAATTTCCACTACGACAAAAAAATCCTCTCCTCGTTAGTATCGCTTTCAGTGAAGTAAAGATTTCTAAGCGCTAATAGTTTGAAAGTGCACATGCTTTCAATAGAATAGTGATGTTTTTGCATCAGAGTGAAGTTTTTTGATCCAATTTTTTTGT